TAGCAACCAACCACTAGATAAAAGCATGTTTAAGGATGCTCCTTTTGTGCCATACAGTATGACTCCATGTAGGCAATAAAAATTGCCTTTAATCAAGGAGGTCAAACCTCGCCTGATTGACCCCGCCTGCCCATGTTTTGAGCTCGCCTGCGTGCTCAAGATTGCAAATGCAAAACTAGCTTAGCTAGCTTGCCTGCATTCAAGAGGCCAAGCAAAGCTCGCTTGTTTGTTTGACTTGCCAGCACAAGTCAAGCTCGTCTGCATTCAAAAGGCCAAGCAAAACTCGCTTGCTGGCTTGACTCGCCAACACGCTTTGCTCACATGCACAAGCCAAAGTTCGCCAACACAACTTGACTCGCTAGCACGAGTCAAGCTCGCCTGATTGCTTGACTCGCCAGCACGAATCAAGCTCTCCTGAATGCTTTGCTCGCCAGCACGAGTCAAGCTCATCTGTAGGGAGTTCGCCTGCACGAACCAAGCTCGCCTAACGCTTGAGGGGTTCGCTAGTCGACCCCGCCTGTTCGCTGAGCTCGCCTGAGCATTCAGACAACACACAAGCTCGCCTGCAAGCCCCCCAGCCTCGCCTGTGCGATGCAAGCAGCTGATTGCTGGTAGGAGTAGGCATTCCCACTTCCCACGTTTTAAGGGATATGAGCATGGCTCCCGTCACCTATAAGTGGTCATATCCCACAGCTATAGGGAAGGGTATGGTGCTCCTCACCTGTGAGCGGTCACATCCCACAAGTAAAGGGATTGACCATGCCTCTTCTTACCTATTTATAAGCCACCTTTGGCAATAAGAAAAGGGGCAGGTGGCTTGGTGGGCTTGATCGGCTTGACATTTTTTAAGACTCTGCATCTTGAGAGCTTGGCTGGATATTCTTAAGCAGAAGCTTGGATTGTTGAAGTAGACTCAATTTGAACTCTCAGAGTTGAGACTCTTGACTCTTTGCAAACTCTTGCACATTAGCCTTCTCTAAGCATTCGGCTATAGGTTATTTAAATATTACTGTAGATAGCTGTTCCCTACAAAAACAGATGATAAAAGATACAATCTGATATTCTTCACATCAACAATCAAAAGTTACAATCTGACGACCTCCGTAACAATCGATGAAAGTTATAATGTGAAGACTTTCACGACAACGTGCGAGAGTTACAAATTAACGACTCTTACATTCCACAAGAGAGGCCAAAAATAAGAGAAAAAGAGAGAAAAAGGAGAAGAAGAGGGGCTTCTTAGAGAGGCTTCTTGGGGTATTCTTGGAGCTCTTGGCTTGCTCTTTAAACCCATTTCGGTTAGTTCTCTTGGAGATTCATCTCCTCTCTAAAATCAATCCTTATTAAGGATTCAAACTCGGCTAGAGTTCTCAACTCTCTTACAGAGAGTTTCTAACTTGTTCAAACAAGTTTCCTTCAAACTCGCTTAGAGTTCTTAACTCTCTTACAGAGAGCTTCTAACTTGTTCAAACAAGTTTCCCCTAAACTCGTGTAGAGTTCCGAACTTATCTTGCAAGTTCTTAACACTCTTACAGAGAGTTCTCAAAACTTGGCTGGAGTTATAAACTTGCCTCGCAAGTTCTCTCAAGGCGTCAAGTCAAGGAGAGAAGACCAACGCCCCCACGAAGTTTAAGTGTTCGGATCGTCAACGAGATACAAGATTCAAACTCTCATAGTCATAAAGAAAGAATCCAATTTTAAACAAAGGGAGGGTTTCATCCTTCCCTCTTTTGTAAATCAGGGAAACGGTAAAGAGAATTATAATTTTTTTCTAAGTCAGTTAAAGAGAAGTTATATTGAGAGGATTATAATCATTCTTTTTCTAAGTCAGTTAGAGGCAATAATATAGATTTAATTCTCAATTTTCTCATAATTTTTCGTGCATACAAAAGATGGCAACTCCACTGGGGACGTGCTATTTCACAGATGAAGAAGTGGTAGCGTAATCCGACACCCAACTAGTTGAGACTACTGTTGAAACTCTAACCATGGAGTTTGACCAAGCTAAGTATGAGGAGTTTCTCTCCTTCGGGTCCCTTAGCCCCAAGGCTATGCGCAAGGCCCGTAAAATCTCTAAAGAGACTAAAGCTCTACCCATGGCCGACCCACCAAAGGAGAGTCTCTCCCTTAGGTTGGACTATTCAAACAGTCCACCCTCCGAAGGAGAAGACTTAGCTCTAATGGAACTCGTCAATCGAGTTAAAGATCCTACATCCATGCCCAAAAAGTGGGTATTGGG